CCCAATTGAAGTGCAAGAGTAATTGGTAATGTACAGTAGCCAATCAGACATCATGTAATCCACCAATAGCGTGCAGCCACTCTCATTGGTTGCTGTATAATTATTCTAACATCAAATTTTTTATAATTTTATATTTTTTGGTAGTTTATTAACAAATTTATTGTTGTAATTATTTAAATTAATTATTTTTTTTAACTTACTCTTGCAGATATGTTGCAAAATGATTGTTAAATGATTTTTCGAACTGTTTTGAACACATAATAGTTTCATGTTTTTTTAAAAGTTTCATTTTTATATGGTGTTAAAAATTCACATTTACGCGCGGTTTTTTTATAAAGTGACGTCATCAACGAAAATGAAGCAAACCGCCATCTCTCCGGCGAACAGGGTGAACTACACGTTTTTGAAACAGCAGTTTCATTAGTTTTCCACATCGCCATTGGAGGGCGCCACGTGCATCATTGAAAAAAAAATCGTTTTTTTTATAGTTTTTCATTTTATTATAAGTTATTTGTAATAATCATTTCCCTAATACATATTCTTCAAATATATTTTGTAGAGTAATCATTTGGTATATTCTTTTCTTTTTCAACTTTTTCACCCCATAAAATTGATAAGAACACCTCAAAAGATAATATTAGTAATGTACAAAAATTGTATTACAAATATATTCTAAATTATTAGAGATTAACATGAGGTTTTGCTCAATTTAAATTTTTCGCTCGTTTTCGAGAGATCAAAGGTGCCGACAGAGAGTGGCGCCTCTGGTATACTCTGTATCTGTAGTAGGCTCATCTTGCTTAGCAACACAAATGCAAATTATCAGTCGTTCAATTTTAGTCAGTTTCGGTTAGGTTGAGTTTGACTTCAATGCCGCCATTGATTCCGACCGTACAATTTGTAGTCACTAGCATTATTTCATACGTATTATGCTGTCGGGCGTGTAATTAATGTTTTCTGTGTTTTATAGATGTTTTTGTTTGCAACACAATATTTATGAATTTTTTAACGAAAACTACACTTTTTGTTTGGTGTAGTTTTTCTCAATAATAGCAGGGTATGTTTGGAACTATGCTCTCGTGATGTTTTATTGTATCTATAACCTCGAAGATAGTTTATTGTATTTATATTGTTTTCTATTGTGCATTGCAGATATGAAGCGAAGCACATCAAGTCATTCACATCGCGATGAAAAATTGAAACCACGCAATGAAGATGAAACCACATCACGTTCAAGAACAGAAGAAGAAAAGTTACGTCGTAGACGTGAATGGCTCTGGCAGCAAGAACGAGAGCGGGAACATGAACGATTGAAGAAGAAAATGATTTTAGAGTATGAAATGCGAAGAGCTCGCGAGAAAGACTTACGGGAATCTAAAGGAAGATCTCATCATAGCCATAGTAGCAGTAAGAGTAAATCTCCACAGAGTCGACATGGAAGAACTTCTATGTCAGATACGCTTAAAACTTCTACATTATGTGAAAAGTAAGTATCAGATGTAGTACTGTGTAAGAAATCTATGTTATTATTATATTTTATTTTTAGTAGTTAAATAATAATATAATTATCAATCAAATTGATTAATGAAATATTCTATGCTACAGATTAGAATCATCAAATGGCACAACACCAATATTTAAAGGACCTGAAGGTACACAAATTAGTGTCACAGAATTACGCAGAATCAAAGTAGATATTCATAGAAATATTCCTGGGAAATCAACTGCAGATGATCTTCATCGAGATATTGTTAATCCTGAAGATGTGGTGATCCAAAGAAGAGAGGGTAACGTGCTGTTTTATATTATGGTTATTTAACAGTTTTTAGTCATTCAGTGAAGAAAGCCATGAATGGATGTAAATTCATCACGGAAGATAATTATTTATGGAGATTTCTACCAATCACAACTTCTCAATTGAAGATGTATGCTTTTTAATGTATAATTGTCAGCTCTGAATTATAAATCATTATCTACTTTTTGAAAGTACTCAGTATCAAATTTTTGCTGACTTAATATATTAGTAGAGTTTAATCAAAGATATACAAACTTTCACTTTATTAAATGCAACATATAAAGAATGATGACTTTGTCTACCAACTTCTACAGACATGAAGATTATGGGTTTTGTCACCATGTCACATTCAAGAATTAATTCAACTATAGACATAATTTACATATTGTTGATTCATCCGGGATAAAACTCCTTTTGGAATACAACGCTGGATCAGTATATTGATTGTACAGTGTGCACTGTGTAAGCACAAACTTCATTATCTTGAGTGTTTTAAGATTAATATATTGTTTAGTGCATATTTTGCTTTCTGCTTAATGCTTCTTTGTTTGCTGAGTTTGCACAAAGAGTATTGCATTTGATAAATCACTTATACAGATGTAAAATTTCTTTTATAAATTTTTTATAGAAGAAATAGAATCCATATTTCTTTTTATTATATTTTGTGCACTCTCTTAACATTTTATTTGTGGCTGCTTGCATGTTTGAGAACTTTGCTTCCTCAATGCTTTATTTTCTAAAAAGGATCAACTGGAAGATTTTTAATTTTAATACTCATCAACTGAAGAGGCAAAATATAATATTAATTCTGCAATGGAAGATTCAAAAGCACGTCCTGAAGCTTAGAATTCTGCAACAGAATAACTTTTAAAAACTACTTTGGAAGAAACAAAATAATTTTGATATTTTACAGTTTTCATATTATTTCGATTTATTATATTTAAAGTTAAAGATTCGTAATAGTTTTGCTGCAAAATATTATCGACATATCTAAAAGATGAAATTTTTGTTTAGTGTTTATTATTGAGATATATGTTGATAGAGTTAATATAGACTAGTTTTTGGGGCAAAAATGTAATAAAATTATAAGGTTTTAAATCAATGAAGAACAAGATTTTATCAACCTGGAAGATAAAAACAACTTGGAAGATTTTAATGTTTGACTATGAAACTACTATACACATATTCTATTGATTAAATTTATCTATTATTAATTTGAACTGTAATATCTTTTAAGTTCATATATACATGAATATTCATGTGTATAAAATAATAGGCAGTCAAGAAAATTGTAAGCCTATTTATTTTTCATTATCGATAAATTATGAGGAAAAATGAATAGAAATTAAAAATATTTTTGAAACATACATCAAGTTAAATACTATAACCAAATTAATATATCTAACTATAATTTTCTACAATAATTATATTTTGATAAATAACTAATACAAAATTAGCATTGCATTGTGTCATTAAGAACAATTTTTGGCTTCTGTTTCATTCTGTATTATAATTCTACTTAAATGATGAAGTTGCAACAAAGTGATGTGGCTTACAATTGTTCATAGCTAGCCAATTAGTTTCAATACAAACTTTACTATCTCCAAGGTCTGTCACACTTTTTAGTATTGCTTAATTGCTTCTTTCTACATATGTTCTAATATATTTTATACGTTTTTCTTATTTATTACTTTTAAAACTATAGGAGAAGGATCCAAGCCAATATTTGAAAGGGATGAAATAAAAAATGCAGTAAGCAAAACAGAAGAAGTGGGGGAACGTCGTACAGTTGTAGCTATAAATAATGAAAATTTAGGTATGTCTGATAGTTAAAATCGATAAATTTCAACATATTTCCACCGATTTGTTCGGTGAATTATAGGAACAATTGTTTGCTAAATTAGACCGTATTACTCTGTGAATTCTATAACTGATCTTATAAAATCTGAAAATACCAAAATATTACTTCTACTTTTGCTAGTTTCAAGTTTTTAATTTTTAGACAACAAATCAAAAACATATAAAAAATATACGACGTCTCCGACTTGTGTAACATCTCGAAGTCACAGTCCTCCACGTACATCACCTCGTCATTTCAGGTTTGTGCCTGTACTGGTAACTGTACTCTTCACAGAGAAAACAAAGCTATCTTTAAAAATTTATTTATAAGATTATACTATATGTATATGGATATGGTATCAGTGTACAGCTAATTTGTGAGCGAATGAAAGAAATGTATTGCTAAATAAACACTGAATTCGTTCATGAGTTAGAATCTGTATGCTAGAGTATTGTATTTATGCAGAGTATTTGCTGATCTTAAACAGAATATTGTGCTGCAATTTATGGATGGTTTCAACAAGTTATTGATTAAGATACATATAAATTCTTATCTTCAGGACTATTTGTGATAGAGTCATGCTTCTTCCATTATTCAGTTTTAATCAGAATGATTTAAACTTCATCAAACTTTTTTTATCACACTTTATTTTTACACAAATACAGCAAATTTCAGTTGATTTTACGTTTAATAACATTAGCATTTTGTATGATTAACTGCTTTTTAGAAGTGTTATATATTCTGTATTGTATGGTGTTATGGTTTTATATGGCTTATTAATGTACATATTAATACACAAAATATGGAAAAGGTGAAAAATTCACATGTATTTTAGGTTTTTAATGAGTGTGTCAATACGTTGTACACATTTCACAATATAATTGCAATTATGGATGTAATTGTGCTTTTAAATTGTTGTTTTAGGCATGTGTTGTTTTATGTTACTACAGTCTGTTTTGTTCTAGCTTTACTAATGCTTCTCAAGGATGATGATATACGGCACAAAATGGGACAAGGATGCACCTAACTGTATGCATATGCTTGCTTATGTTAATACCAATGCTTATGCTTTATTTTTTAGTGTATTAGTTTATACATACTTCTTAAGGAAAATGCAAAGATTTTAAAAATAGTCTAAATAATATTGCAATTGCTATTTATTTATTTTTTTTATTTCAATTTAAATTTATTAGTTATATTATTAAGAAAGCATTGGTATATTGTTATTATTATGCAGTTTTTGATTCAGGTAACATAATATCAACATAATAATTGATAGTCGTCGTGGAAGGTGAGTAAATTAGATTGTTAATAGTAATTAGATATTATTATTTATAATAAATTATAATCTTTTTTACTTTGCATAATCCTTCTTAGTAATTTAATCTGCAATTAATATATATAGCTGTTAGCTGTATTTCAATATTTCTTTTACAATGCATCTTACGACATACATTGCTTTGAGCAATTTAATCTTTTGCTATGTTTACCCCTATTGCAAATTTTTTTGTTGTATATACATATCCTTTTTAATGAATATGCTTACTGTATATTGCTTAACTACCTTATAGTTTAGTGAAGAAAAAATAGAAATATTACTTTTTATTCATGAAAATCCACGAATTGCGTTGTATAATTTATATTGCTATTAATTTTTGCTTTTGTTTATTTATTTATATAAATGAATTATAATATTGCTCAAATAAGAGAGAGATAAGATGCTACTTAATTATGGTATGACATGTATAAGTGATATGATACAGAGTATTGCTTTAGAAATTAAGATTAAACGTAATGCTTACATTTTATGCAGATTTCAGGAGAAACAAAATGATTAAAAATGAAGGTTTTTATTAAGTACTTCTCTTTCAGGCATGAAGATTCAAAATATGATAATAAAGAGAGTTACAAAAGTGATAGGTAAATTTTCTTATATTATGTATATCTCTTTAGTTTTAGTTTATTAACTCATACAATTTGTTTAGGGAAAGACATCGCAGCAGAGATAAAAGTAGAGAGTATAGAGAATGTTATACTGAAAAAGACAGAGTACATACTCACCCACATGGTGTAGAGAAAGATCGGTCACGAGAAAGGAGAAGTCGTCGCGAACATTCACGTTCAAGGGACAGGGAGGAAAGAAAATGGGATAGAGATTCTCATCACAGGTATATATCATGTAATGTTTCGAATATTGTATCGAGAACAAAATTTCAAAAATATCTGCACAGTAGGTCAGTAAGAGATGAGAGACTATATCAAGGGTATCGAAAAAGATCAAGGGAACGTTCTAGAGAGAGAAGAGAAAGAGATAGATCTAGAGAATTAAGGGTTCCTCCACCACATTATATTGAGCAAATTCCTGTTCCTATTTATTGTGGGGTAAGGATTCAATTTTTATATGAGACCTTCTGATTTTGTAATGCTAAACTTCATTTATTATTTGCACAGAATTTTCCACCAAGACCTATAATGGTTGGACCTTTACTCCCCATTCGTACACCAGTTCCTTTTGGAAGCGTTAGACATCCTTCTATGATGGGTCCCCTAAGGCCATTCCCGCCACGATTTATTCCACCAGATATGTATAGAATGCGTCCACCTCCAAATCCTAGTAAGTACGATATTTATAAATTTGCTAAAATGATATGCACGAAAAAGTATTATATCAATTATATATTTTTTGCACAGGATTTGGATCGATGTATTAACGCAATTGTCTGTGATAAAATTATATATTAAATTAAAAATTGAAAATGGTATTGAATGCACGATACAAAAGTGCATAATACTTAGAACACCAAATACTGATTGGAATTTTATATAGTTTGCAATGGAATTGCATTTGGATATCATGCTCAATTCGGAATACGTTTTAGTAATATTTAAACTATATAATTATTATATAATTTTTTAATTGTCTTGTTAAATTATTATAATCATTTTATGTAATTTTAAAGCTGTATAATATGTATACAAACTATTTGCGTGCTTGTAGGATGATGTGAATTCATTTCACTGATATTTGTAAATTTTTATTGACATTTTACATACATATTTTTAGTTATATATAATCAATATCGATTTAGCTTTTAAAACTTGTCTGAAATAAACTTGTGATTTTTACAATATATTAGGATTGTTTCAAACTGAAACTTGATCATGTAATGTAAGAGAATAAAAATAAATGTTGTATGTTTTATTACATAATAAACATGAATCATTAAATATAACAAAGATTTCCAACAAATATACTGTATTTATTTTAAGCACTTTGAGTTTAATAATAAAATTTAATGAAATTTATATTTATTTATTTTTTAACGAATATATGACTTAAATTTTTTATAAAGAATTATTTTTCTATTTAAAAATAAAATATGTTATCTTGAATTAAAAACAATAAGAATTAAACACTAATCATTAATAATGTGCTACGCTAATCTAGGTTAGAGATATTAATTTTTTTTCGAATAGATGCGCCAAATTACATATATTCGCAAGACAAATTTCCCGCGCGATTGTGTACGGTGTGTCAGTCGACCTTCGGCCACCGGTACAAGCGGGTCGTGGAGGTACATGTCTGTTTCATTTTATCGCGGAAATATTCGAAAATTCAGTGTAACTTGTGAATTCTTGTGTAAACACCAGCTGATTGCGAGAACTATACAACAGGTACGAATTTTAATTACTTCGGCGTATATTATATGTTCATTCAAATACGTTTCAGTTATCCTTAGCTTTTTCGAACAATTTAAATTGTGTACAATTAGTTCATTAATTTCCTCGCGATCTGACGTTTCGTCGTAGATGTATTAAATTAGCAGAATAACACATTTTCTTCTTCTTTTTTATAATATTTATGTACGGAACTGACACAGATAAATTTAATATGATATACGAAAAATATGATTATGTATGGTTATTTAATACCATGATAACCACCGTTTTAACTGCATCTATTTAGAAAATCGTCTTATTTGCATCGAATGTTCGATAACATTCTTTACTTTTCAAAAATTCAGGTTTTAACAATATATTACGTGTAATTGTGTTTTATTTTTAATGTTTTAATTATTATAATAATTATTAATATTTGTTTGGAACCTTTTACAAATATACATTACATTCTGTATACTTTCATTATTTTTTTGAATGACGCTTAAGTTTAACGGAATGTCTCAATGACGTAATATAAAATATTAAAGGTTTTGGACCTAACGCTGTGTTCTCGTAGATCTGATTTTTGTTAGCGTTTCTCTGATGCGTAGTATACCTGTCAATGTACCTGTGTGCGTGTCTGAACCTGTTATTCGTCGTAGATCAAACCGAATTCATAACAATTAATTGTATATTGTCAATAATCGATTTAACTTAATCAGATGCATACGCACGTAATACATCTTAAACCTGCATTCTGTATCAGTTCTGTTTTTTAATTAACGTTAACAAAAGTGTTGAAGTACAAGTAAAAATAAATTATTAATTCGAAAAGATTATTTATATTTAACAAAGATTACATGTCAAATTATCGATGTCATTTCTTATAAGAAAAGATGCGTAGTATACATAACAAATTAATGTGACATTCCATTTGTCATTTCTGCTTTTTTTATCTCTAAATCTATCGATAGTATCGCCCGCAGAAAAATGGCTTCTTGCACTGCGCGTCGAGAATCATAGATAAATAACCGTCAAAATGCAAACACAAAATTCGCATTTTTTCTTTCTATTTCCTCATTCCATTCTTTATCGATTTTTTTTTTATAGTCGCACGTACCCTGTCAATGTCATTTCAAGTTCGTAAACGATGAATTTACTTACCGCTTTTTAAGCTTATAATCGGTACTTCGTATTGCAAGTGTGTTGACACTTCTACCTTACTGTAATCAGTGAACATTAAATAAATCAATTGGTATTGTTATTAATGATGGGATCAAGTGAAATAATTATAAACTCCGGCATAAATGTAAATATATATTCAGAATTTATTTCAGTTATAAATTGTTTATTATTTATTTGTTGACTAGACCTTTAGAATTATAATACTTTTTGAGGAAAATATTCCTGATCTCTCGTTCGCTTCCATCATATTTTATTATTCGTATCACGTGTTTACAATTGACGTAATAGCTATTTTAATTGCAAGAAAGTTATTAGAATGTTTTGAAATATTAATTAGATCGCTGTATTACGAAACTTACACGTGAGCATTGACGAATACTATGGTGATATTTATTTTGTAAAAAAGAAGAAAAGTACTTAATAATGTAAACTATCGACCTGCTCCGTCAACTGACCTCGTATTACTATTCATGATATACTTGCATACGTTATAGCGTACGATATTTAGAATAGTGTTTTTAAACTAATTCTGAAAGGTGCTTCGTCACGTACGTGGTATACGCGAATGTTTTGTAATTTTTTAAACGCAGCAAGTATAATCCTGAGTAGTAAGGTCAATGTCACGGACAAGAAAACATTTATACAGTGAATCTAAACAGTATTGGCGCATCTCGTTTTATTCCAACAATAGTAATTTAAGCTGGAAATATTTTATCAGGTTCTGTTAATAGGTGGTAAAACGCAACATGTTTTGTTTAAATAAAAATAATGAAGGACAGAAATGTGGGCTACTACCTATTTGACCCTCTCTGTATATTCTATTTTCAGGTTATTTTTGAACGTCGAGTCAAGGCAAAATTCACAATGAACAATATAAATTTAGTTGTTTTATTCGCTCAGAACACGGTTCAACATCGACCTACTATTCAAGCATTAATAACAGTTATTTTAACGATATAGTGCGTATCTGATTCGTGCTGGCGATTCTATGTTAATGGCACGCGTGGTCACATACAAATTTCAAAATTTGAGAGTTGGGTTTTTTGAAATTTAGGATTTCGAGAGCTGGGTGTTTGAGAATTGAGATTTATAGATTTGGGATTTTGGGAGCTGGATTTTCGAGATTTGGGTTTTCGAGATTTGGGATTTTGTGACTAGGAATTTTGAGATTTGGGATTTCAAGATTTTTGGATTTTGGGATTTTGAGGTTTGGAATTTCTAAATTTAGGATTTTGAGATTTGGGATTTTGAAATTTAGGATTTTGAGGTTTGGTATTTTGAGATTTGGGATTTTGAGGTTTGGAATTTTGAAATTTAGGATTTTGAGATTTGGGATTTTGAATTTTGAGATTTTGTTATTTTGAGTCTTTGTGATTTTGAGATTTCGGATTCTGAGTTTCAAAGTTTGGAAATTTTAAGATTTTAAAACTTGGTGTTCAGATATTTTAGGATATCAAAATTTTGAGATCTGGCAATTCTCCCATTTAAATATTTGATAATATAGAAATTTGAGCACGTAAACACAAATGTTAGAATTCCTGTAAATGTCAGAAATTTCATAATTAAACTTCAGAAATTGTAATTCACACAAGCTTAAAAATCGGTAAGTCTCAAAACTTGTTAATTTCAAAAATTAATGGTTTACAAGTACAAACATTTTCAAATCTTTATTATTATGAAGTAACCGGTAAGATAACCAACCGTTCATAATATCGATGAACCGTTTATCTAGTCATTATCATGCAACCAAGTTTCAAATTGCCGTTCCATAAATGCTATTTCCGAACCTTGTTAGACTTTTGACATTACGAAATGCATTTGTGATACAACCTAATGCGCGTTCTTTTATACTAATTTTCATCGATCTCATTTCCATATTATCTCTATCCGTTAAAATTCTTTGTTAACATTCTTCGTTGATCGGTTTAACATTCTTCGATAACCATCCTTTGTTCAACCATTCTTTCGTCATTGTATTAGTTCGACACGTGTAAGTAAAACGATAATACAATTGTAGTTTCTTTCGTTTTCAGGTGCTTGTAATAATTCGGTGCTGCAAGGTCGACTCACATCGTATTTTCGTGACTATGGAGAGTGGTTTGACGGAATTCGAGGAAAACGTGGCCTTCGACATCGACGACCCGGACTTCGCCCCTTCGAATCCTCATACTGTTACCAACAATGTCCTTCGGAACGTGCAATTCGCCGATTTCGCATTCGGTGTCAACAAACGTGAGTACATTCACTTCTGATACAATTAACGTATTCACAGCCGCCACGCTTTGTTTTTTTCCTTTCCGAGGCTCGAGCGCAGGTAGCTTATACTTGGACGTGGAAAGTTTTATTACCAAAAAAAATCTCGGTATCACCTCACATTTTTTACCAAGCTACAGATTTATTTACAACACTTTTAATAATACATGAGGACGCTATTCGTATACATTATTTTTATATTAATTTTTAATTTGTTAACAGACTTAATTTTCTTTCTTTTCTAACATTAGAAAAAAATGTGTACAAAATTATGTAGAAAATGGTAGTGTAAAATAGATAGGTAATATATAAATATAAATTGTACGTACACATTTAGCGATCCAAAATAAATGTTTAAATTTGACAACACAATTGTCGCATGTTAGGCACATCCAGTGTCGATAAACATATCCAGTAAAGATAATGTAAAATTTTTTCCACTGTCACGTTGACAACCGCGTAGCTTCGGAGAGGAAAATTAAAATTAATGTAAATCGCGCATAAAAATAAAATGGTGTCCAGTATTTCGAAGGAACCTCAAGATGTTGCATTACTGCGAAAAATGCAGTAAGCAAAACATAAGTTGGAGAACGTCGTACAGTTGTAGCTATAAATAATGAAAATTTAGGTATGTCTGATAGTTAAAATCAATTTCAATATATTTCCACCGATTTGTTTGGTGAATTATAGAAACAATTGTTTGCTAAATTAGACCGTATTACTCTGTGAATTCTATAACTGATCTTATAAAATCTGCAAATACCAAAATAGTACTTCTACTTTTGCTAGTTTCAAGTTTTTAATTTTTAGACAACAAATCAAAAACATATAAAAAATATACGACGTCTCCGACTTGTGTAACATCTCGAAGTCACAGTCCTCCACGTACATCACCTCGTCATTTCAGGTTTGTGCCTGTACTGGTAACTGTACTCTTCACAGAGAAAACAAAGCTATCTTTAAAAATTTATTTATAAGATTATACTATATGTATATGGATATGGTATCAGTGTACAGCTAATTTGTGAGCGAATGAAAGAAATGTATTGCTAAATAAACACTGAA